TCCGGAGTTTTGCAGGTATCTCAGCACTTCATACGAGTTATACTTCACAACATACCCTGCCATTAAGAAGAAAAAGGCAGTAAATAAAAGAGTTAAGAAAGTGAAATTACTAAATTGCATACGTGGCAATTACAGTTGTCTTCGCGTTAGCCACATTAGCATTGGAAGCCGGTGACGCTCCTGATGCGCAAGAATTTGTAGCCGAAGATGAAACAACTATACGTCCTGCGGCAACACTATTATACGGTATTCCAGGTGGTGGCGGTGGTGGTGTAGCCTGGTTCATCGCACCCAAAGAGCACAACTGTCCACTTTCTGCTGATCCATCCCTAAATAATGGAACTGTTATGGATATGTGGAATATTGTAATCAACCCTTCCTTTAAAGAAATACCAATTTATCTGTAAAGATTAACAAACTTGCTAGAAACGGCTAGTTGCAACTTATGAGTCCTAATTTTCCACAGGTAGCAACAGTTGTAACAAAAAAATTCCAACGGTACAACTACACGCCATTGATTTTCAGTCCAAAAATAAAACCAATAAGCGTAGTGCACACAACACTGGCTGCATCACTACTGTTTTAATGAAAAAAATCACTTAAAGAATAATAACTGAAGAGTCCATATTATAAAATGCAAGATGTACACGAGGTTACCTCAAAGAAGCTCTGAAAATTGAGAAGAAATTTATGTTTAACGAACTTAGCCAATTTGGCAGGTGTAACCGGAACAGATGCTGCAGCTACAGTCCTACGCGGTGCAGGACTGGCCGGTGCATCTTGACTACCATGACGCGATCCAGCGCTTCGAGGGAGTCCATCATCACAACAAGAAGCGTCATGTGTTGAACCATTATCAAACCCTAAGCAGTATGAATAACTCGCACATTTAAAGGTAACCTTGCGACTAAGACAAATTATGCAAAAGCACCATTCTCCTTTTCTTCGTCCAGTGAGTTAATCTGAATGCCACCAATTTGAGCACTCAGCGCGCCCAAATCCAACTCCTCGTAAGCGTCTAAAAATAAATGGGTGTTGTTGGAAGGTTTCGTAAAGCTAAGAATTAACTAATAAACAATTACCTTCTGGATCAAGATTCTCCAACTCATCTGCATCTCCTTCATATTCAGGATCGAGAGCTTCAACATACATCTCCAAAGGATCTTTCAGAACTTCCATTACACGTCTGGATTCCAACGACTCATTGTTCACCATTCGCATACATATCTATAAAACACATATATTCTAATTTTTCCAGTACCGTGGTCTGTACTCACTCAGAAACTAGTCCTCAGTAAGACACAAGGAAACAAGGTAAAGGTGCTAATCTGCTCATTTTTGGGAAATGTGATGGTTCTATTACCTTTTCACTGCACATGACTTTAATCAGATCTTTCTTTACCTATTTTATTTTATTTGACCCGTCTTCACGTCTACCATGCGGATCCCAGCACTCCTCACATTCAATTCGTTTTCTCGCATCCATTGTCCACCAAGATCTTCCAACTTTACGTGGAGCATCGGTTGCTGCTTGAGTATTTTCATTTCGTCTTGAACGTCGTAGAATGCTGGTCGAGCAATTCTTCTTGGAGTCCTGAGATACCCGAACTGGAGCGTTCCCAATTGGATTGCAGAGAGTAATTTTCTCAAGTCCGGTACCAATTTCCCGACCCGGAGGGGTGAGAGGCCTGCTTTTCCTGGAGCGGAATCGAACTAGCACCATGCCTGTGATGACGGACATCATTACCACTGTGCTATACGCCCACTGTAATCACATCTACTGTGCGAAACATACTTCTTGCAGTGATTTCGTTTACATCGAATTCATCGCCCACAAATGTCTTCGAACATTTCGTGTGTTGTTTTGGATGCTGTTAGAGGATTTTCTTCTTCTCTACGAATGTTCTAGAATTTTTCGCAAATCGATCCTTCTTGCTAACCTGGTGATAGGGGAGCTGACGTCCCCACGTTGATGCTGGTTGAAGGGGCACCTGATTTGGACTGTATTACTGACCATAGCTACCCCTCATGGAAGTTCTACACCGATAATAGAAGCAAAGTATGAACCAAAAACAAAACACACCTCTAATTTGCCCATGTGGAATTTCATTCGATCCAGGTGACGTTTTAGCTCCTCCATCCGCTTCTAAAAGACCACAAATGGAATGGAAACAAAGAGAAGTAGTGCTATAATTCACACCAGTGTTTCAGAACGACGTAAGACAACATGATTAGACTTCTTTATAAAAGAAAACCCTTATGAAATCGTGCCAAGATCCAAGCGTTCTTTGTGAAAAAAAAAGTTATAGACTTACGGCGATAAGAAATAATCGCAAAATTACAAAGAAAGTTACCCATAATCAACATATATATGAAGGAAAAGAAGAATTAAGTAACCATACAGCTCAAATCTTGAGCATGGAAGAGAACCTACTCAAACGCTATGGAAATCGTAACCACAAATATAGTGACACCTTTCTTTCCATTTCTAAACACACGAGTAAGAAGAACACTAATAAATAGCATGGTTAAAAAAAACTCCGCTTAAAAAACCGCTAATAGTGGAAAATAAAAGGCTATGAAAATGAAATATAAATAAAGATGAGGGCAACAAGTGTGAAAGCGTTCGGCATTAATCAATCTCGAAGTGATGCACTATGCATTCGACTTCAATCGAATTCAAGGATCGTTAGAGATGATTAAGTGCATACACAGCCTGTGCAATGCCATGCGATGGCCTACCGATGTGTCGAACCAATGTGTATTGCAGGGGCACCTCTAAGCACTGCGCTACACATGCCCATCCACAAAATTCTAGTCGAAAATTTCGTTTTATAGTTGGCTGCCGATCGTTTACTGCTGTTCACTCCTATACTCTAACTTATATGTTAGAATAGTCTACCTTTTCCTTTCTCTTTCCTTCTTTAATAGTCTACCTAAAATTCTAAATAGATAAGAACGAAATCTACTCAAGAAGACGGAGGTGAAGTCCAAATGACCGTGTAGTTTCTGTAATTTAGGCTTCCCCAAGTAGTAGTAAAATAGAATCAGAAGAAGAATGCAGTATAGTCAAGTCGACCAGCTTATGAATGACGAAATTCAGGTCGGCCGTAAAACTTAATATGAACGAAGACGCCTATCGAGTCACTGCTGCTATCCTCTCAGACAAGAATGGTACCAATTCAGTGATCCCGGAGGGATCGAAAGCTTAGTGAACAAGGGACGCGGAATAGAACCACCGGCCAGCTGTCCTACAAGGCGACTGGAACCTCTCCCCGCTATACATGCCGCTGTCGCTACATTTATTTCATATTACCACGTCACCAGGAGCTTGGTGTCTTGTCCTATCAATACTTGGCACGTCATTTTTAAATAAGATTCAAGGCCTCCGTATTCACAATATATGCAATTTTGAAGCGCGGACCTTGCTTTAAACCGTTAAACTACTTCTCGGCTATTGGGAAAAGAAGAACTCCACCAATTTCCGTAAATATTTATAAATATTAAAGTCATACAGACGTCAAATATAGACGTAAAGTCATAGAAATTTTTCGCAATGCAAACGCTACATTCCACCTCGTACCTGGTGAACGAATGTACGCTGCAATTCAAGTTTCAATATCTTGTCAGAAAAACTAAAGCCTTGAAGAATAGCAGATTCGGGGACGACCCATTGTCGTCAACAAAGGAAGTAAACCCATTCGCAAAATTTCAAGAACTTGTAGAGAAACAGCCATAAATACAGGAATGTTTTGAGATAAATCAACTGCATCGGGAAAAAAAACAAGGAACTTGGCAATACGGCGCCACATTAACTGAGCGAAAAGCAAGCAGATCTCTATTACAGAGTTCGTATTGCGTTTAAAAAAATCGTCTCTTCTTTGTGCCATGAAAGGCTATTAAACGTGGGCATTGCAATGCAGCTGATTGAGTTCTCAGAAAGCCTCGACAAAGATGAAGCCATGGAATCCGTTTGGAAGTCGAATGCGCATAATAGGAGGACATGATACCCATTTCGTTCTTAAAACATGGAACCGTCCACTATAACTTCGTGACTCACGCTTAGATCATTTTACAGGCGGTGTATTGTCGTTATATTATGAAACGCATAAGAACGGCAACGTGTGCAGTCGACGTTGCTCAATCGAATAAAATCAGTTTCGTTTTATGGAAATGTGGAAACAGATTCCGAAAAACGAACACTGCACAAGTAAAAGATAACAGGGACTAAACCTTAGCACACGCTAGCTGTACTCACGTTCCCAATGTCAATGGTCCAGTAGCTTTCCAACCACCACAACTCCCTGCTAGAAAAACCTTTAACGATAAAGCTCCTTTTGTGAACATCTTCAGAATGTTCATGCACTCCAGAACGCATGAATTTCAATTCGAGAAAAAAAAACGTTTATCTCGTTGATGTGAGCTGAGAGATATGGATGGATAAAGCTCAGGTATGAAAGTCGCAACTATTCTGTGTGTAATTTAATACACTAAAGAAAAATGAGGGCAAGTGATTAAAACAAATAACGAATATTGCGAATACAGCGCAATTAGAATTACCAGAATTACTGAACTGGTATCGAACAACTTTTAGGCAGAAGCATACTGTTTTCAGAAACCACCTCGATAGCTTCTAAATAATTGAAGACAATGGAAGATGCAACGGATTTCGCTCACATGAAGAATTTCGCGCGGTTAATCGCGGGGCTACGTGGCGTGTTCTCAGTATAGGAGGTTAATAGAAGATGAAAACCTTTCAATTTAAAGTGGAACCCGTTATGTAGGCCATGATTTGAACGCAATAAATAACTATGTAATAAATAATCACCTAGCATAAATATCAAACACTAGAACCGAAACAGGAACAACAGACACTACAATGACTAAAACGGTAGTCAAAGGCTAAAACAGAATCTATTTTTATAGCGATACCTCCTTTTCACCCTTTCTCTCGTCTTCCTTCTTTCCTCTCCTCTTTCCAGCATCTACTGACAACATCGACTCGATTTGTGACTCCGTTCTATCAGCTTCATCACTGAGCTCACGAATTTGGCTCTAAATGGTAAAGTCCTTGTAAATGAAAGAAATCTCTTAAAAGATGCGATTCAATCAACAACAATGTTAAAGGCCAGTTCCTCAAAGTATAAAAACCGTGAGAAATCATCAAGTCTACAAATCCGGATATAGAATACGACTGTTTTAAAATCAAGAAGGATGTGTACGTGCCCAAAAAGAGAAAACCCAACGATGGTTGTACAGGCAAAGAATCTGAAACCTCAGAGAGTAAGGCCAAATCAAGACAATCCCACTGAACATGTTGTCTTCACGCTAGGCAACTTGTCTAAGCAATCCCCAACGATGTAGCATATGGTCTGCATGTGAACACAAAACAGAACATAGGTTTATGAATGTGTACAAAATCTCACCTGCAGCCATTCGATAGTATCTGCCTTCTCTTTTTCCCGTGGATCTAACTTCTCTTCTGCACTTAGGCCCTGAACAGAAGGATAACAGAGAAGAACCTCTTGTTTTAAAAACGTGGAAACAGAATTATGTTTATTTCAGGTATGTCTTACTGAAGAAAAAACAACATATTGGTCCAATACCTGTTTACTATGCGGCTTCGTTTTGTTTTCTCGTTCGATATCTTTGAACTGTTCCATTCGCTGCTCAATCAGTTTTCGATAGTGCGTTAGTTTGTCTTTGTCCTAAACAAGATAATCTGTTAAACGTCAGCATAACTACGGAAAGAACAAACTCAAAGCAAACCTTGATCTCAGAGCAATTCTGCCAACCCTTCACTTGGTCTCTCAACCGTTGCAGTTTCTTAATCTCTTTTTTCAAATCATCCTAGGAAAAAAGTTACAGTTATTTCAACTGACATGGATTATAATGCACAGTTCGTCAAGTACCTGATATTTCTCCCGTTGGTTGTCGCTGTTGGCTTCTTGCATCTTCACCATCGTTTCCTCGAACAGCTCTACACCCTCGTCGATCTAAATAGAAGTAAAAGACGTTGGAAAACTGTAAACTAAGCAAACAGAAACAAAAAGTGGGAAAGAATTATAATTTATTATGTATAAGCTGGGACTTCATACCAAAAATAAAAAAGTGATAGATTTCACCCAGAAAGATAAATTCCATTCAGAAAAAAATTCATCCCTACCTTTTTAAAGCATTTATCAATCTCGGCAAGGAGCTTGCGCTTCTCTGCCATAATGACTTGTTCTTTGATCCTAGATTGGACCACCGAGGAATATAATGCATGCAGCGAATTCGCAGCTATCTTATTCTGGAAGGAAATTCATAGACATTACAGTAATCTTTACAGTAACGTAGATGTCAAAGACACCGAAAAAGACTTCAAAATAGTCGGTCTCTGTTCAAACATTCCGAAAAATGGAACGGAACCGACCTAAAGAGAATACTGGAAGAGGAAGAAGAAATTGTTAACCAACAACTCACTCACTACTAATCACAAATTAAGCACTTCTCAAGCGACGCACAGCAAATCGAAAGCGAATTGTTGTCGGATTTGAACTCAATCTGGAAATTTCGTACGCATTGAAGGGAATGCATTAAAGAGTTAGCGAGAGACAATTCCCTCATAACGTGGTGAAACACGTAGAATCATACAACTAATGTAAAATATAGAAATAAGAGCACAATAGAACAATTTTAGCACAGAATCACAACGTCCTCTAGGATGAAGCCAAGTAGCTTTCAAGAGTAGATGGAGAATCTGGGATGTTCTAGCTGAACTGATGCCGTACGTGATGACCCCGTAGCTTCTACGCCGCTAACCAATATAACGAACTACTGAGGAATAAAAAAAAACCGACTATTCTGAAGTCGACAACAATAGTGATATTGTACGGCTCTATAGATTGACCAGTTCTTTTGACATAGTTCCAAGCAGAGCACGATGTATGCCATAGAGATTCCCCTTGGTGGTCCGCCCAATCTCACAGAACTGGCCGGAGGCGACGACGCCGAAGGAGAACCGAACCATGCCGGCACACGGTCGATACGCGAACAAGGGGCGCCGATTCGCTGCGTACGCAAGCGCACAACGAGCGTCGAATCCTCAGCGAGCGCTCTGAAATTGCCGGTGGTCACCGTGCGGGTTCGGTTCGCCGGTCGCCCTTTGTCCGCTATTCATTCAGTCTGGCTCAAATGGGTGCATTTTTGATTCCCGGTTTGCATCCACTTCCGATGTTGTTGTAGAGTGTTTACAACTCGTTGCAATGGAGACCGTCAAACGTGTGTTCAATCCCGCACGCTTCGATTTTTCTAATTTTAGGACACACCAAAGTATTGCTACTTTTTCAAGCGTCAACATCACTTACACATAGTTTACCCCGTGGTAGATTTCGCTAATCAAAGTGACAAATAGAATATGATACAAATAGAAAATGAGAATTCACCAAAATCAGAATGTACTTGAAACGAGATACGAGTCTATTTATTTCATCACTGGATAGAAATCCTTTTAAAACTTTATTAGACCGGCTTTCACTTATGCTCTGCACGAATAATCAATATATATCTTTAGCCTGGATGAGGTTGTTATATGACTTCTGCTGTTCAGCTGACATTTCGTCGTCTTCGTTTTCCTCAGAGTCGATGATCCGAGTCGGTGGTCCACAGTCGTTCGTCCTCACACTGTGGGTCCTTCACTCGAGCTCAGATCGAATCGAATCTTCTTTAGTGGAGCACCGTTCAAATGAAAGACCCATTATGCGAAAACGAATAACTGTGGACCATCGACTCGGATCATCGGCTCTGAAGAAGATGAAGACATCGAGACGGGAGCCGGATGAAAGTTACGTAACAGCCTCGTGCAAGCCGAACAACCAAGCAGATATGCCCTTTTAAAATTTAAACTTTATAATGGATTTTAGCGTTTGTAGGCCGTTAAGTGTTCATTGTGATCTTGATGGAAGTTTCTTCTCGAAAATGCTTCGATATTTTCTTCTTGTCAAAGCTTGCACAGAACTCTTTAAGCTATTGTACAGTATCAGTTTTACATTGTTGCATAGGAACAGATAGTTTTCGTCATGAAAAAAGAGTAGAAGCTCTCGGCGTTGATCAACCCCAAAGGATGCGGCATGTATTTGACTTCATTAAGCATCGTTGGAGGTGGCTGTATACATATCTGTCCTTTACAGTGACTCACGGTGGCCTACCGATGTATCGAGCCGGTGCTGCTATCGTTCCAAACAAGTCTGGTACCAGTTTGCCAATCCCGGGGTGATGGAGAGCTTGGTGAGCCTGTGGCGCGGCGGTCGGTCCCGTGTGTATTGCAGAGCGCCTCCGACTACTGCGCCGCACGCGGCCTGTGAAAAGGAGTACAGGACAGATATCAGAACAACGATGTCTTCGGTTTTGGCCAGCTTAGTACTACTGTCCACGTGCCGAGTGTTATTTATACTTTGCTTTCGACTTTGTTGAGGTGTCCCGAAATTGTGACTACTTTTCTTTTCCATTCTTATTTCATTAACCTAAAGTGAATGCAGCTAAGAACATTGAACTGAGAATATTAGCGTAGAGATGTGGAACGAATTATGTGTTTTAATGTGTAACTGTTAGATGAACGAAAAGGCATGAAGACTTGTCTAGGATTGAATCGTAAATGTTTTGTAGGAAAAAAAACTGTAGTCGATAGGGGATATGTGAAAGCTCAATTTGGACATTTCATGATATATTCAAAAATGGTGCGTGTGGCGCATTGGTCGGAGGCGCCCTACAACACACATGTGGAATCGATCCACGTGCCCACAGCCCACCAAGCCTTCCATCCCTATGGGTTCGGCAAATTGGTACCAGACTTGTCTGGGAGGATAGCAGCACTCGCTCGATACATCGGTAGACCACTGCAAGTCGTAAAGGCCAGATATGCTTTCAATCACCTCCAACGATGCTTAATGAAGTCGAGTGCATAGAGTACAGGGGTTGGTCAATGCCGACAGCTTTATTCTTTTATCCTTTTTGTGATATATTCTATTGTGCTTATCAGTAAGTCTATGTCAGGTAACTCATTTCTAGTCGTACTCTTTACTAGTTCGTTACAGTGGTACATATTGCCCTTCAGATTAATGTTTCTACAACCACTAAGTTCTCCCAACGTGCTTTCATTTGACGATTTGTTAGCGGCCACATTGATGTTGTTCTTAACATTTGCGTAACGACATGACCTCTAAATGAATCGTTTCTTAAGGGGCACAGTGGCCGGTATGATCTTAACTGAGGTCTTCTTTTCGGTGTTCTATTTCAGCACATAGAACTGTTTTAGTAAATTTCTTATAATCAATCGATTGCTTCTTCAACGGCCATTTTGTAGTGGATGTCGACCAGAGAAAGTTTTTTTCTGCGCTTAGAAATATCCCAGAACTTTTTCTCCAGTGACTTAGTTGACTGGTAATTTGACTCGCAGTTGATTGCTATTTCAATTCCGATCGTCGCTTTTTATCATCGAGAGGCGCTTGTAGCGCAGTGGTTAGAGGAGCTTTGGAACACACACGGAACACATCTCGCTCCCACGGGCTCACCAAGTTTTCCATCCGTCTGGGGTCGGCAAATTGGTACCAGACATGTCTGGGAAGATAGCAGCAGTGGCTCGATGTATCGACAGGCTACTGCGAGTGCGAGTGTATGGGCCAGATATGCAGTCAGTCACCTCCAACGATACTTAATGAAGTCGAATGCATGGCGCATCCCTCAGGGATTGATCATGACAGGGAGCCTTATCTATGTGATACAAATCGTGGTTATCGATGTGGATGGGTAGGTACAAGAACACAGAGACAGACTCGGTATAAGCTGCAAAACGCTTCCAAATGCTGAAAGCAATGTGTTTATATGATGGACCATAGTAACGTATAGTTAGCGGTGGTATACATACCACTTAAACCTATAGAGCATTAGAGCAGAATCTCTTCTATAACGGTGTAGTGTTCTCGATCCGTCAGGTCGTCTGATTATCGAAATATAATCGACCGTTGTCGAAAAACCAGTAGGTCCGTGAAGACATGAAATTGGATGACAGGCGAGGAAAATTGGGCATTGTGGCGTAATTGTTGAAATGTTCATAGTTTCTCTTTGAGTAATCCGATGTTTACAGGATGCCGGTCTTTTCATTGCACACGAATGTCGGCCACGACAAGGTTACAGCAGAGCTGCTGAAGCAAATCAGTGCCCTTGTTGCACGTATTTTACACAAACCAGAGAGTGTACGTAAATACTTTTTATGGTGACACAGTACTTCATACCAGTTATTGAATACGTTTTGTACCAAAACTTCTTTCCGTTCTTCTTGTGACAATGAGAAACAGGAGTTTGTTCTTTCAACCTCAGTGTTTTGTTGTGGTATGTACATATGACAAAGTTAAAGGTTTCTGTTAGGAATAAGGCAGCAGAGCTTTCTAAAATATTTTGTAAGGTGTACAACATTTATCTACTTCCCATTATTTTTTTCATAGCAGGGTATTGTGTGATATGCAACCGCAATGATGCTGAGATAATCACAATCTTAACTTTTTTATTTACTGCCTTTTTCTTTTTAATGGCAGGGTATGTTGCGAAATATAACTTGTATATAATGCTGAGATATTTGCAAAACTCCGGACCGCAGGTGTTTGCGGTGGGGAACGAACGCGCTATTGTCCTTACCTGGGGAGTAACGCACTGCATCACCACACCATAGCGCGTTCGTTCCCCACCGCATACACCTGCGGTCCGGAGTTTTGCAAATATCTCAGCATTATATACGATGTTGAGACACTTGCAAAACTTGGACCCCAGTGGTACCGCGCGTAACACGTGAACCCCTGGAAAGGGTGATCGCGGTTCGATCTTACCTGGGGTCTAAGTTTTGCAAATATGTCAGCGTCATTGTGGTTGTCCCGCATTGTACAGTGTTATTTTTGTATTTGCCACGATATATGGCTGTACATAAATAGTGGCCAGTCCGTCCAAATCGTTGTGTGATTCAACTTCGAGTCACATTTCCCACTTCTGTCAACCCTTGTGTACCTATGCCATTGACACTCGCAATTATTACGGAACAGCGATTCTTCATGGCCAACATTTGTTGGCGACATGGCCATTACACGGTTATCAGGATATTGGTGAACTGAGTGTAAGTAGAAGATGATAGAAGTTGAATAGAGGGCGTGTTTATCGCTCTAATAACAAAACTTGCTCATTCCCGTCCTTGTACTGTTTCTATTGTAGAATCAAGGAAAACTGGCCTTAAATCTTGTTATGATAATAAGAAAAGCAGAAAATAATGAATGTTTGGGTCTCCATCGTTCCAGTATGTTGCTGTTCATGTGGTTCCCGACCAGCAGATGACATTCGCTGGTACAGCTGATCCATGCGGTGTTGGCGTATTGAAGTCCATCGGAGGTATCGGTGGAAAACAGAACAATGAGCATGCTAAAGCATTGTTTGCACTGATCAAGGATCATCTTGGAATTGAAGGAAATAGGTGTGTTCTTCTATGTTTGATTACTTAGTTTACATCCATGTAGGTCGATTTGTATGTTGAAATATTTGTTACTACATGCTACTCTTTCTATGAGGGTTCCCTTTTTAGGATGTACATCGAGTTTGTGGACCTTGGTGCCAATGACATCGCTCACAATAGCAAAACATTCGGTTGATTTAATCATAACGTTACTAACTTCGCGGTTTCACTCAGTTCAATGTTCTGAGCTCACACTTTGTTATTTTCACTAACGTTTGAGAAAAAAGTAGGTCGATATGCTCACTTAGCTGTTTAAACGGTTCTGGACTTCACCTTACATTTTGTTACTTTCCATTGTTCTCAGAAATAGAATCAAATCAGATGTTTGTCTGTTCAGATGTTTGACATAGAGGTAGATGAATTTATCTAAAACGTTGAAGTAGGAAACCAAAATGTGCGATGAGTTTTTGTTCCAGTAGTCGTGAACGTTATAAAAACTACTGACCTAGTACTTTGTAATTAACTTTTATTTTACTTCACACTATCTGTCATCGCACTTATATGGGTCCCATCATTTCTTGTATTCGATCCCTTTTCCCTTGCATTTGCCGTCCACAGTGGCCTTCGAACATTTCGCGTCTTGTTTGTTCAGCAGCTGCTTAAGGATTTCGTCTTCTTCATAAACGTCGTAGAGCACTGGCCCACTCGATTCTCCTTGCAATCTTGGGGGTAGCCAAGCTAGACGTTGGTGACAGCGTCGAACCAGCGCCTTGTTTCCACATTGACGGTGTCACCAACCACTGTGGTGCCCCCATCGTCGTTTATTAGTAGAGAAAAGTAAGCATCAAATAAAACATTTGTACCGCAACAGATTGAGGATTTAACGCTGTCTTATGACAAATTTTTTGAAACAAGTTTTGTTTGAATACTGTAAATTGTTGCTGTCAAGTACATTTGGAAGCATGTGGTAGATTTCCGAGCACTTTGTATGCATCTAAGGGCGAACGTATGCTAATGGCTGTGTGAAAAAAGGAATGGAATGGCAATGGTTGCTTTCACGCATGTTTACCTTTAAACAAACCAGCCCCCCCGTGAAGATATCGAACTTCTCGACTTGGGTGGTCTCAGGGAAATGAACTCTTCTGCACCTTGCAGTCCAGTATTTAGGACAATGATCGCTGTGTTTAAACATGGCCAAAATAGGCGGAAAAGTGTCTTCAGTTGATTTTAGATACATCTATGTAGAAGTTCTTCAAAACAGAACTACTTATGCGCAACTGATGCGGATAACCTTGACTGTTCCTGGATTGACGTGTGGTCGACGTATGCTCATATACGCATGCTCATATCTATTTAGATAATTAGATGCTTCGTCCTTAAATATAATGCCGACCGCTGCACTGCTTTCATTCGTTTCGTTATTTGCAACTGTCATCCATCGAGGTGGTTGGTGCTGGCTAAGTGCGTGGATCCGGTCCATGATTGAAGATCTGTCGTCTTTTTTTCTCATTGACGTACCATAAACGCTAATTGAGCGCGATTTTCCTGAGATAGTCGAGCAAGCATTTTCCTTAATTTTCAGTACACTCCCACACATGACATTCATCCCTAATGTTGACTGAATTTCCCAGAACTTTTGATCTGTACTAGGCCAGTAGGTGTTGAAAAATACAGACAGTTGTCTTCACTCGCTGCTAAGTCCTCCGGGCTTTTAGAAGAACTCGAATTTCTCCTTAACATGTGCAACGTTCTTGGAAACTTGTATTGCGATGTTCGAATACATATTATAATAAGTAGAGGAATGGTAGCAAAGTCACTTTGTAACAGGACCCAAGAGAAGGATTATAGAAGAGGGCAAAAACTATTGACACTTCAACGGATTGGTTTCTATGCGAGAACGAAGACCAATATCACGTGGACGAACATCTGTGGACAATCGACTCGAATCAATCTCCGATTCCGAAGAAAGCGGAAACGCTAGCCGACAGAATACAGCCTTGTACGGACTTCTTGTTAGCTCAAAAATTCCGGAAGCTATTGATTCTATGAATCACAGGGTACATGGCTCACCACGTCGTGGGTAGAATTATGGGGAAAGCTTCAACGCATTCACGACAGCGCCTCTGATTTTCGGTGTCCAGGATGCCTATGTTTTGAACGATGTATTATACTGTATTGATCACTGCTCGCTTGTTCCATTTCCCTTCCCATTGTCTTCACATTAACAACAGCCTCTATGTTGCTATGTTGATGCCTAAGGTAATCAATCTCCGCCATAGTCATGTGATTCCATTTTTTCCCGTAAGAACATCTCTTAGCAAACTCGCCACTTGTGGCATTCTTGCCGATTTCCTTTCATACTATAAATCTAGAATGTAGCTTTTCTGGATTGAAAAATAGAACAAAGTAGGAAAATTTGTGGTGAGAGATTATCAACAGAATTTTTTCCATAACACGTCTTAAAAGTAACTGTGCGGAACCCAGCTCTTCTGTTCGATTCATTTCTTCGCATCCATCATCCACGAAGGTCTTCGAACCTTTTTATACATGGGTTGTGGTGATGCTTAAGGATATTCATCTTGGTTATGAAAGTTGTCGAAGACTGGTCGAGTTAATTCTCTCTGGAGTGCGGGAATAGCCGGTCCAGAGCGTTCCCAGTTGAATTGCAGACAGAAAACTGTTTCGTCAAGCAGCAACCCTGGCGCCAATTTCCCAACCTCGTAGGGATGGAAAGCTTAGTGAGTCATCAGCGGGGTTGAACCAGTATCATGCTCCTGGTGAATGTGATCAGTACCAAAACAGCACCCGCCCCACCACTGATTGTACACAAAAGACATATCGAACAAAGAACTATTCGGTAAAACAACCGTCAAGAGATTGCACAGCACAGTGTCTCGAATATGTTAAAAATCATTTCCTTAGGTTAAGTGTACGGAATAACGCTAGGTGTTCTAACTGCATCCAAAGTACCACATAAAAAAATATTTACATATAGAACGTCATGTGTTTACATAAGACGATGTTTAATGATTGATGATGGAGTAGATGAGCTGTTACCATACTAACATTCATCTTGCACTAAGGTTATAAATGTTCTGAAGTCCTGAGTGTAGATTTGCACTAAACATTGACTAGCATATCCTCCCTGTTTCATAAACAACATCTCCGTCAATGCACCAACCCCGAAGGACAAACAAAACGAAGTATGGAGATCCGCCTGCCTGGAGTTAACAATCGAACGCTCGCTTACTTGCTCCATTACATATGTGATACAAGAAAACATATTTCCTGGAAAAAAAAACCCAACTGCAAGCCGTGAAGGAAACGACGTGACCAGATATTGTGCTATTTGTATTGTGAATTAGTTGCCGTGCTCCCTTTTTCCACCACTTACTATTAAGTAGAAAAGATCAGTAGATGATAGAATGACAGGTGAAAGCCTCCAATTTAACCCTACCACAACTCCAGAAAGGTTTTAAATGATGCTGGTAGGCTCTTCCTTTAAAGCAATTTCAAGTTTACAAATCGATATAACTATCTCTGCTACCAACTCAATAATTATCAATAATTACTAAACGCCTGTCGTATATATGCAGTATGTTCAAAGAAGGAACTAATTTAAATAACACAAGGCAGGACACACATTTTGGCGCAAACCTTAGATGTCGCAGGTCCAACAAACAATAGTAAGAATGTGTTACATAGGAAATATCGTGAAAATACTCATGATAGAACAAATTATTTAAAATAAACCAATTAATTTGCACAGCTATTAAGAATTTTAAAGCCATTTAAAAAAGTTCTCTTCGTCGAGAATATGGGGTAAACACAGCCTCTGCAGATAAGATCCTTTTGGAAAGTGTCACAGCGGCTTTCTTATAAAGATTACAAGACAAAAACCATTCGATATATCCAAATCGAATTGCCAATTCAAACAACGTTTTGAAAACAGAATGCTATAAACAAGCATAACCTTCATAACAACTACATACATGGGCAATTTCATGAGATAGAAATAACGACATAAATTTAACCCTCTTGAAGGATGCGATAGGTGCAAAAACAGTTGAAACAAACAAACAAAAAGAAAACTTACTGCTCTGTTGACGAGAAACGATGATGGGTAGCAAGTGAAAGTTGACTCTTCGTCATATGTAAACTTTAGAAAAGAGGATAGACCTTCCGAGGGAAAAGTAGGTAAAACACACATTGGATAACTACATGTCCTAACGGTTGCTTACACACTCAGAATACGTGTGAAATCCATATTGATCCAATCATCAATCAATCGACACATCAAAAATGTCCTATTTGTAAGAGATATTTGACTGCATGTAAACATTAAGGTGAATTACTACACCAAATTTGGAAATGAAATCACTAAGTGATGACATCAATAAAAGAAGAATTTGATGCGACATCAGAAACGGACATATCTGAGGATGACTTTAGGCGACTGCATGAATTATCGCTACTAGAGTAATCCCCTGAGTCGACAAGATTGCCAAAATCGAATACGTCCACAGATAACTTCCCTTCCATAACAGATTTCATCATAAGTGCTTTTTCAACCTGAACAATGGAATTTAAGTCTAAAAGCATTTGTATTCCAAGTTTATATCTCACAAATGCAGGAAACCGTGAGCGTTCCCCTAACAAGTAGTGGAGAATGACGAGGGAAGAGAACAAACAAGGGTCGACAGTTCCAACTCAAACACCGCCGATTGGTTTCACACTTGTATCTCGACTTCGAACCAACACATTTTAGCTCATAATGAACTTCATTAATTCAAACAAAAACTACTAGAATCTAAAGGACTTCCTCTCACATTTCTTTAATACATTTTTATATGACCTGACATAAAGTACTGTGTGGTTGCCAGCATTTCCTTCATTCGATTCGTTTACTCGTATCCATCTTCCAGTAGGGTTTGGATTTGCGTAAGGTTGTAGGTTATGGATTAGATAGGATTTTAGTGCTTTTTTAAAGAATATCGTTGAACGTCGTTCGAGTAAATTCTTCTTGAAATCCCGGGATAGCCGTGCTCGTAACCATGCTTCACATCACAGGGAATCACCAGCCTTTACGTATGAAGCTCTTTCCAGGCATGTCTAGTATCATTTATCTAATCTCATAGGGATAAGAAGGTTGGTTGGCTTGGCGTAGAGTCGAACCAATATCCTGATGTGCATTAT